GCGAGACGCCGCGCGAGGAGAAGCTCGCCTACGTGGAAAACGTGATCAAGATGCTCGAGATGGAGTCGTGGGCCGAGGCGCTCGTCGGCGAAGTCGGCATGGGCCTCAACGTCGAGCAGCGCAAACGCCTCACCATCGGCGTCGAACTGGCTGCCAAGCCCAAGCTGCTGCTCTTCCTGGACGAGCCCACGTCGGGTCTGGATGCCATGGCCGCATGGAGCATCGTGCGCTTCCTGCGCAAGCTCGCCGACGCCGGCCAGGCGATCCTGTGCACGATCCACCAGCCTTCGGGCGAGCTGTTCAACCAATTCGACCGTCTGCTCCTCCTCCAGAAGGGTGGCAAGACGACCTACTTTGGCGACATTGGCCACAACTCTCAGAAGCTCATCGACTACTTTGGCAAGCGCTCGGGCAAGACGTGCGGCGAGGACGACAATCCTGCCGAGTACATCCTCGACGTCATCGGTGCAGGCGCAACCGCATCGACCGACAAGGACTGGCACCAGCTCTTCCTCGATTCGGAACTGTATTCGGACATGGTGCAGAGTCTGGAGCAGATCGACGCTTCGGGTGCCGATCACACCGTCACCGCCGAGGAGGAGATGATGGGCCGACGCGAGTACGCCGAGCCGCTGTCGGTGCAGGTCGGCCTGGTTCTCAAGCGCGCCTTTACGCACTACTGGCGCGACACGACGTACATTACCTCGAAGCTCGCTCTCAACATCATCGCTGGTCTCTTCATTGGCTCGTCATTCTACGGCCAGGGGTCCAAGGAGACGAGTGCGTCGCTGCAGAACAAGATCTTTGCCGTCTTTATGGCGCTTGTGCTTTCGACGTCGCTCTCGCAGCAGCTGCAGCCGGTGTTCATCCAGTTCCGTGCGCTGTACGAGGTGCGCGAGCGGCCGTCGAAGATGTACAGCTGGTGGGTGGCGGTATGGTCGGCGCTGCTGGTCGAGATGCCGTGGAACCTGCTGGGCGGTACGCTGTTCTGGATCTGCTGGTACTTCTTCTTGGACTTCCCCACCGAGTCCAAGACGGCCGCGACGGTGTGGGGATTCTACATGCTCTTCCAGATCTACTTCCAGACGTTTGCGGCGGCGATCGCGGCCATGTCGCCCAACCCGATGATCGCCTCGATCCTCTTTTCGACCTTCTTCTCGTTTGTCATTGTCTTCTGCGGCGTGGTGCAGCCTCCTCCGCAGCTGCCGTACTTCTGGCGAAGCTGGCTCTTCTACCTGAGCCCGTTTACGTGGCTCGTGGAGGGCATGCTTGGATCGGTGCTCACGGGCCGCCCCGTTCGATGTGCGCCCAACGAGCTCAACGCCATCACGCCACCGTCGGGCCAGACGTGCGCACAGTACCTCGCCAACTTTGTCACCACGCTCGACGGACCCAACCTCGGCACGGGCTACTACCAGGACGGCCCCAACGGCACGTGCGAGTACTGCCAGTTCCGCGTGGGCGACGACTACCTGCGCACCATTGACATGAACGCCGCCAACCGCTTCCGCGACCTCGGCTTCATCTGCGCGTACATCCTGTTCAACATTGCGCTCTGCTTTGCCCTCTTCTACTTTTTCCGCATCTTCAAGCTCTCGGACTGGAAGAAGGCTGACAACAGCAAGGTCGTGCCCAAGGCCGACGAGGGCACGCAGAAGGCCGACGAGAAAGTCACCGAGACCTCGGCGGCTGCCAAGGGCGCGGGCGACGACGCTGCCGCCCAGCCTCTGCCGGCCACCAACCTTCTCCCCGCCGCTGGCGTGCAGGGCCCGCAGACCAAGGTCTAGCCGCGCTTTCCTTCGTTATCTCAAAATTGGCTCCGACGGGAATCCCTGAAACCCTCCTACACCGCTCTTTGCTTAATTTAATGGATTTGTGACTCTAGCGTTGCGGTCGTGATTGGTGGGCGGACCTGAGTTGCAAGTCGTCTCATCACCATGAGGAACGCAGAGGGGGGCAGGTTGATGTTGCGACAAGGGGAAATTGTCGACTTGCGTCGTTACGGGAATCGCGCGGACTGAGGCGGCATTGCGAATTCCGCTCCGAGCTTCCGCCATGATGATGGCCCGAGCGCGAGCCATACGGTAATTGACTGATTAGCTCCGCTTGCGATTGCGCCTTTGCTCCTCACCTCAACATCGCTCACATATACATACGTCTGCATATCAGCGTTTCGACACTCAGACACACCGCACCGCCTCTCTACTAAAAGCAAAGGACAATGGCTGGCCCACTCGTGCTCATCACGGGCATCACCGGCTTCTTGGCGGCGCACGTGCTGGATGCGGTGCTGGCGTCGCCTGCCAATTACCGCGTGCGCGGCACTTTGCGCTCGCTCAGCAAGAAAGACGCCCTTCTCGCGCGACTCTCTGCGGAGGACCGCTCGCGCATCGAGCTGGTCGAGGTGGCGGATACGGCGACGTCGGACCTTCTGCCCGCAGTGCGTGGTGTGGAGATCATCCACCACGTCGCGTCGCCGTACCAGCTCAACGTGCAGGACGCCGAGCGCGATCTGCTCATCCCCGCGGTCGAAGGCACGCTCAACCTGCTGCGCTTTGCCAAGCACGAAAAGTCGGTGCGAAAGATCGTCATCACCTCGTCGTTCGCGGCGGTGACGAGCCTCAAGGAGGGCGGACCCAACCGTCCGGGCTACACGTACACCGCCGAGCACTGGAACCCCGCGTCGTACGAGGACGCACTGGAGGCGGGTGGAGCCGGCGCCTTCTCGTACTCGGTGAGCAAGAAGCTCGCCGAACAGGCGGCGTGGGACTACGTGTCCAACGAAAAGCCGCATTTCGAGATCGCGGCGATCAACCCGCCCATGATCTACGGCCCGACGCTGCAGCCAGGCGTGACGCTGGCGAACCTCAACACGTCGAGCAAGACGATCTATGGGCTGGTGGCTGGGGCGGACCAGATGCCCGAGGACAGGCTGCCGCTCTTCTGCCATGCACGCGATGTGGGCGATGCGCACGTGGCCGCCACGGAGAAGGACGGCGGCATGGGCAGGAGGTATCTGCTGTGCGGCGGCAAGTTCACGTGGGCACATGCGGTGGGCTTTATTGCCGCCGAGTATCCGCAGCTGCAAGACCGTCTGCCCAAGGGGTGGAAGGAGGCGAGCGAGAGTCTGCGTGACTTGGACTCGATCGCTAGCCTCGACACCAAGCCCGCCGAGCAGACGCTGGGCATCCGCTTTAGGGACTGGCAGACCACACTCCGACAGTCGCTCGACAGCCTGCTTGAACTCGAGCAGCGTGCCGACTGGAAGTAGACTCGTCGCATCCTGGCTTGACTATGGCAATGCGATGTTTTCATTCGCGAGCAAGCGGGAAAGATTGGTGGAGGTGGTACGGGCCTGGATCGCATTTGGGCTTGAGCATGAGCTGGACACTGTGAACCTCGCACGTCATTCCTGCCTCACCATCATCGGAGAGGATATTCTCGGCAGCATTACAAAGCTGCCAAGTTTCTCTTCGGTTGGATGCCTGACCGACGCTGACGTGGGGTTTCCACACTTCGCGCCTTGACCTTGCACTTCCGACGATGGGCAGTAGTGCCTGTTTGAGCTCGGCCTGCAGCTGAACGATGCGGCGCGACGATGTGTCCTCCCCAGCTGAGCTTGCTTGACTGCGGGCGGGTGTGGATCG